CTTGTCCAACTGTGGACACACGACGCAAAAACGTTAAATGTTATTTTTCAGTCTGTAAGTGTGTGTTTATCACAGCTCGGCAGCGCCCCCCACAGGATAACAGCCGGCGTTGAGAAGAATACTTTAAAAGGTTTTTAGTTACAGAATTATTTTTACAAGCCACTGAAGGTATTAATCTGTGGATATGACCAGTTAGACTCATTTAAAACACATTTAACATCATTAGATTTAACATTTTACTAAAAAATCTTGCCTAGTTTTTTTCTAGTGTCTTTTTTTTTCTTGTCAGTTTATAATTTTACTTCTTGTTTGGACACGAGCTGCATATTTGACATGACAAGGACCAAGACGTGATTAAATCGAATGACGACTAATAAAAATAAATGCAGAATGAAGGTTTAAACTGTCTGAAAAATTCCTTGTACCTAAAACTGTTCCTACATTTAGACTGGAATTTGGCTACTTTCTGTGTTTTTGTACTTTTCTTTCCAACTTTTTTCCACAAACTTTTGTTAACTGATGTAAAACTAAAACAAATATTGACCAGAAAAATGAAAAATGTCATCGAAAGTCTTGTGTGTCCAGTTAATGATATTTCGTGTTTGTTTAATGGAACAGATCTAAAGAGTCGGCTCTGATCTCATGGGAATCGGCTCTTCTGATTCATTACAAAGAATCGGTTCTTTGGGCTAAATGTGAACCTGTCACTAGAAGATTTATGATAAAATACAAATAGACAACAACAATGAAGTGGATTAAGCTCCAACTAACCAGAGTGTGTCCAGTTCCAACACAGCGAAAACTGGAGGGTTAAAATTTTAGGGTAAAATATTTAAGAGTTGTTTTTACCACCAAAAGTGTTATTTTAACTATTTGAAAGTTAAATGCGGGTTTGAGTTACTTGCCAGAGTTGATGTGGCTGAGGTTAATTCAACTTCCCTTAGTGTTAATTCAACTTATCTTAGTGTTAATTCAATTTATCTTGGTGTTAATTCAACTTATCTTAGTGTTAATTCAATTTATTTTAGTGTTAATTCAACTTCCCTTAGTGTTAATTCAACTTATCTTAGTGTTAATTCAATTTATCTTAGTGTTAATTCAACTTATTTTAGTGTTAATTCAACTTATCTTAGTGTTAATTCAACTTATCTTAGTGTTAATTCAATTTATTTTAGTGTTAATTCAACTTATCTTAGTGTTAATTCAACTTATCTTAGTGTTAATTCAATTTATTTTAGTGTTAATTCAACTTATCTTAGTGTTAATTCAACTTATCTTAGTGTTAATTCAATTTATCTTGGTGTTAATTCAACTTATCTTAGTGTTAATTCAATTTATTTTAGTGTTAATTCAACTTCCCTTAGTGTTAATTCAACTTATCTTAGTGTTAATTCAATTTATTTTAGTGTTAATTCAACTTCCCTTAGTGTTAATTCAACTTATCTTAGTGTTAATTCAACTTATCTTAGTGTTAATTCAACTTATCTTAGTGTTAATTCAATTTATTTTAGTGTTAATTCAACTTATCTTAGTGTTAATTCAACTTATCTTAGTGTTAATTCAATTTATCTTGGTGTTAATTCAACTTATCTTAGTGTTAATTCAATTTATTTTAGTGTTAATTCAACTTATCTTAGTGTTAATTCAATTTATTTTAGTGTTAATTCAGTTTATCTTAGTGTTAATTTGGCTCCTCCCATTCACCACTTCAAACTCCCACCAGATTAAACCAGTTTGAACCAGTTTTGTTCATAATTTGATTTTAAATTAACTAAAATAAAGTAAAAATGTGTGTTGTTGAGTTCAATCAGGATAACTCTACAAAGTGTTAATCTGTTTACTCTCAAAACATTAATATGACTCTGGATTTCGGGGTTAAGCAGCAACTTTGGTCCAGTGGTACTTAATGAACATTTCCAAAAGTGTTAAATTAACTCTAGAACAAATTGGACTCATATAAACTCTGAGAAAATGTTAAAGTTGATTCTGTGAGAGTCGATTTTAACACTCCACGTTTGTTTTGAACCTCCTTCTGTATCTAAGAGACTAAAAGACATTTATAAATACAAATTCAGATTTTATATTTTTGTAACTTTTTGACACTGAATGTATTAGAAAGTTCAGTTTACACGACTCAGTTTGACTCGAAATGTCACTCAAACACTTTTGAATCAATCCACAACAACGTCCAGCTCATCATCATGTATATCCTGGTGTAGAGCTCCCTCTGCTGACGGCAACAGAGAATGACATGTGCCCCGAGTCACAGACCTGAAGTGCTTTACTGAATAAGAAATGCATAAAAATCACAATACAAACAAATCCAAACATAAATAATCATCATAAATTTATTAAAAAAAATAGGAAGAGACATTAAATTACAGAGAAGAGTGCACAATAAAAACAAACCGTGTTTCATTTGTTCATTCGTTTTTCAAAATAAAACCAAAAAACACTTTATTTTCTTATTTTCTTCATTATTTGTCTCCAAAAAATCAAAACGAAAGAACAGATAATGATTAGTTTTTCAGTTTTCCATTTTGTATTTAAATTAATAACGGAAAAAAAAACAAAACAAAAAAAAAAACGGATCAAGGCTGTTTCCCGTTTCCGTGACTTAAACTGTGATGCCGGACTTTTGCACCGCATACGGACTAAACCTGGACTAAACCGGGACTAAACCAGGACTGAACCAGGACTGAACCAGGACTGAACCAGGTCTAAACCAGGACTAAACCTGGACTAAACCGGGACTAAACCGGGACTAAACCAGGTCTAAACCAGGACTGAATCAGGACTAAACCAGGTCTAAACCAGGACTGAACCAGGACTAAACCAGGACTAAACCTGGACTAAACCGGGACTAAACCGGGACTAAACCAGGTCTAAACCAGGACTGAACCAGGACTAAACCAGGACTAAACCAGGTCTAAACCAGGACTGAACCAGGACTAAACCAGGACTAAACCAGGTCTAAACCAGGACTGAACCAGGACTAAACCAGGACTAAACCAGGACTAAACCAGGACTAAACCAAGACTAAACCAGGACTAAACCAGGACTGAACCAGGACTGAACCAGGACTAAACCAGGACTAAACCAGGACTGAACCAGGACTAAACCAGGACTAAACCAGGTCTAAACCAGGACTAAACCAGGACTGAACCAGGACTGAACCAGGACTAAAACCAGGACTAAACCAGGACTGAACCAGGACTAAACCAGGACTAAACCAGGTCTAAACCAGGACTGATCCAGGACTGATCCAGGACTAAACCAGGACTAAAAAGTCTGAAAAGCCCATTCATCATAAATATAAAAGAAATGACTATGATTTAATGTTGAAAATCACATTCTATTGTTTAAAAAAATGTTTTTATTATCACCGTGATACTGGAGTCGGTGTTGAGGATCGAGTCTGTTCCTTGAAATGTTCATATCGTGACAACATTAAACAGAAGTACCTTGGGCGCGTCTCATTTCTCTTTCCTCACTTCCTTCTCCTCTTCTCGATTCTGCAGGAAACAGGTGAGGAAGTCCTGCCCACAGAGGAGACACACGAGGAGAGAAGATCTGTGCCGCTTCATGAACTGTTTAAAAAAGTCGACTAAATGAAATAGCAGAAACACCGGGATCACGTAGAGCGAGTTCATACCAACGTTTTAAGATCTATTGACGCGTTCGCTTGAGCTCGAGACTCGAGGAAACAGAACTCCACCTCGAGAAAGAAAAACGGAACGAACAATCAAATCAAGGTTCTGAAACACAAACTCGGGCGAGTTCAGTTCAGACCGAGTCAGTCGGATTTAAGTCACCTTTTTTACCTTGTACAAGTCGCGTGGACCACACCTCTAAACCAGGACTAAACCAGGTCTAAACCAGGACTAAAAACAAGGACTAAACCAGGACTAAAACAGGACTAAACCAGGACTATAACCAGGACTAAACCAGGACTAAAACCAGGACTAAACCAAGACTAAAACCAGGACTAAAACAGGACTAAACCAGGACTAAAACCAGGACTAAAACAGGACTAAACCAGGACTAAACCAGGATTAAAACCAGGACTAAACTTGGACTAAACCAGGACTAAACTTGGACTAAACCAGGACTAAAACAGGTCTAAAACCAGGACTAAAAACCAGGACTAAACCAGGACTAAAACCAAGACTAAAACCAGGACTAAAACAGGACTAAACCAAGACTAAAACCAGGACTAAAACAGGACTAAACCAGGATTAAAACCAGGACTAAACAGGACAGGACTAAACAGGTCCTAAACCAGGACTAAAACCAGGACTAAACCAGGACTAAAACAGGTCTAAACCAGGACTAAAACCAGGACTAAACCAAGACTAAAACCAGGACTAAAACCAGGATTAAAACCAAGACTAAAACAGGATTAGACAAGGACTAAACCAGGACTAAAACCAGGACTAAAACAGGACTAAAACCAGGACTAAAAACCAGGATTAAACAAGGACTAAACCAGGACTAAAACCAGGACTAAAACAGGACTACACCAGGACTAAAACCAGGACTAAAACAGGACTACACCAGGACTAAAACCAGGAGTAAATCAGAACTAAAACCAGGACTAAACCAGGATTCAACAAGGACTACACCAGGACTAAAACCAGAGTAAATCAGAACTAAAACCAGGACTAAACCAGGATTAAACAAGGACTAAACCAGGACTAAACCAGGATTCAACAAGGACTACACCAGGACTAAAACCAGGAGTAAATCAGAACTAAAACCAGGACTAAACCAGGATTAAACAAGGACTAAACCAGGACTAAAACCAGGACTAAAACAGGACTACACCAGGACTAAAACCAGGAGTAAATCAGAACCAGGACTAAAACCAGGACTAAACCAGGATTCAACAAGGACTAAACCAGAACTAAGCCAGGACTAAACTTGGACTTGAGGACAGAGGAGAGGAATCAAGGAGAAGGAAATGAGACACGGACACAGACAAAAACCCAGTCAGGATGTGTTTTACTGAATGTTTTTATTAGTTGGAGACGCGTCCACACTGCTCAGCCCGTCACTGGTAACGACACATTACACACAATTCATTCAGCTGTTCAGAGACGCCGTTACAAGAGTCCGTCCTCCAAACACGCAGACGCACGGAGAAGTTTCCACGCAGACGCACGGGCCGCCACGTCAATCACACAGAAGAAGAAAAAAACACTTGGATATTTGGCCCGTTTAGAAAAACAAAAACAAAAAAAAAACCCAAAGATTTAACAAGATTTTAAAAACTGTACAGCTCTTAGACTTTTATGATAAACGTCGATGTCGCTTCCGGGTCCAGACCTGGTTTAGACCTGATTTAGTCATGGTTTTAGTCCTGTTTTAGTCCTGTTTTAGTCCTGGTTTAGTCCTGGTTTAGTCCTGGTTTAGTCCTGGTTTAGACCTAGTTTAGTCCTGTTTTTGTCCTGATTTAGTCCTGTTTTAGTCCTGGTTTTAGTCCTGGTTTAGTCCTGTTTTAGTCCTGGTTTTAGTCCTGTTTTAGTCCTGTTTAGTCCTAGTTTAGTCCTGTTTTTAGTCCTGTTTTAGTCCTGGTTTAGTCCTGGTTTAGACCTAGTTTAGTCCTGTTTTTGTCCTGATTTAGTCCTGTTTTAGTCCTGGTTCAGTCCTGTTTTAGTCCTGGTTTTAGTCCTGGTTTAGTCCTGTTTTAGTCCTGGTTTTAGTCCTGGTTTAGTCCTAGTTTAGTCCTGTTTTATTCCTGTTTTAGTCCTGGTTTAGTCCTGTTTTAGACCTGATTTTAGTCCTGGTTTAGTCTTGTTTTAGTCCTGTTTTAGTCCTAGTTTAGTCCTGGTTTAGTCCTGTTTTAGTCCTGTTTTAGTCCTAGTTTAGTCCTGGTTTTAGTCCTGGTTTAGTCCTGGTTTAGTCTTGTTTTAGTCCTGTTTTAGTCCTAGTTTAGTCCTGGTTTAGTCCTGGTTTAGTCCTGTTTAGTCCTGGTTTTAGTCCTGGTTTTAGTCCTGTTTTAGTCTAGTTTAGTCCTGTTTTTAGTCCTGTTTTAGTCCTGTTTAGTCCTGGTTTAGACCTAGTTAGTCCTGTTTTTGTCCTGATTTAGCCCTGTTTTAGTCCTGGTTCAGTCCTGTTTTAGTCCTGGTTTTAGTCCTGTTTAGTCCTGTTTTAGTCCTGTTTTAGTCCTGGTTTAGTCCTAGTTTAGTCCTGTTTTATTCCTGTTTTAGTCCTGGTTTAGTCCTGTTTTAGTCCTGGTTTTAGTCCTGGTTTAGTCTTGTTTAGTCCTGTTTTAGTCCTAGTTTAGTCCTGGTTTAGTCCTGTTTTAGTCCTGGTTTAGTCCTGGTTTTAGTCCTGGTTTAGTCCTGTTTTAGTCCTGTTTAGTCCTGGTTTAGTCCTGGTTTAGTCCTGGTTTAGTCCTGGTTTAGTCCTGGTTTTAGTCCTGGTTTAGTCCTGGTTTTAGTCCTGGTTTTAGTCTGAGTTTAGTCCTGTTTTAATCCAGATTTAGTCCTGGTTTAGTCCTGGTTCAGTCCTGTTGTAGTCCTAGTTTAGTCCTGTTTTAGTCCTGTTTTAGTCCTGGTTTAGTCCTGGTTTAGTCCTGTTTTAGACCTGATTTTAGTCCTGGTTTAGTCCTGTTTTAGTCCTGGTTCAGTCCTGGTTTAGTAGTCCTGGTTTTAGTCCTGGTTTAGTCTGTGTTTAGTCCTGTTTTAATCCAGATTTAGTCCTGTTTAGTCCTGGTTTAGTCCTGTTTTAATCCAGATTTAGTCCTGGTTTAGACCTGGTTCAGTCCTGGTTCAGTCCTGTTTTAGTCCTGGTTTAGTCCTGTTTTAGTCCTGTTTTAGTCCTGTTTAGTCCTTTTAGTCCTGGTTTAGTCCTGTTTTATCCTGGTTTAGTCCTGTTTTAATCCAGATTTAGTCCTGGTTTAGTCCTGTTTTAGTCCTGGTTTAGTCCTGGTTTTAGTCCTGGTTCAGTCCTGTTTTTTAGTCCTGTTTTAGTCCTGGTTTTAGTCCTGGTTTAGTCTTGTTTTAGTCCTGTTTTAGTCCTGTTTTAGTCCTGGTTTAGTCCTGTTTTAGTCCTGGTTCAGTCCTGGTTTAGTCCTCGTTTAGTCCTGGTTTAGTCCTGGTTTAGTCCTAGTTTAGTCCTGTTTTAGTCCTGGTTTAGTCTTGTTTTAGTCCCGTTTTAGTCCTGGTTTAGTCCTGTTTTAGTCCTGGTTTAGTCCTGTTTTAATCCAGATTTAGTCCTGGTTTAGACCTGTTTAAGTCCTGTTTTAGTCCTGGTTTAGTCCTGTTTTAATCCTGTTTTAGTCCTGTTTTAATCCAGATTTAGTCCTGGTTTAGACTGTTTAAGTCCTGTTTTAGTCCTGGTTTAGACCTGTTTAAGTCCTGTTTTAGTCCTGGTTTAGTCCTGTTTTAGTCCTGGTTTTCTGCGCCCGACACACAAACCGCCAGGTCAATCCCAGAAAAGAAGAAAAAAACACTTTGATATTTGGCCCGTTTAGAAAAAAACCCCAAAGTTTTAACAAGATTTTAAAAACTGTGCAGCTCTTAGACTTTTATCTCTAAACGTCGACGTCGCTTCCGGGTCCATCCGGAAACTTCTGAGCTTTGTTTTTGTTCCTTAATCATCCAAAAAAAAGAGACAATCACCTTTTAAAAGCACATGTTTAACCACAAATTGTATTAGATAAGTAAAAAATATCGTGATTACATATTATACTGGATTTTCGGTGTTTATTTCACTAAACATCGGTCACTGTTTACGTTAGCTTAGCCTAGCTTCGTACTTTAACCTCATAAACAGGTTGTCCCAAAAACATTGACATCATTTCACAGGCTAATAACTTTGGTAATTCTTGTTGGAATAATCTCAAATTTTCACAGAATGTATAGAAACTAGGGACGGGCATTCGATAAAATTTTCTTAATCGATCGTCGGGAGAATTAATGATCGTTATTTCTATATTAAAATGATCATCATTATTATTACTATCTGCACTAATCTGCATAAATAAATTCAACTTTACGACATATAAACATAACGACTCTAGATCCACATCAGCTGTTTGAAATTATAATGTGTTTAATTCAGTTTTGTTCAAATCTCACAGAAACAAAACTTAAAACCACATCACTCATTTACATAAACTAAGTGAAGATAAAACTCCAGCTCTTGTGTCGCTGATGTGGTTCAACTTCTGTCGGATTAAAAACCACGACTCAGTGGAATACGATTTGTCAAAACCAGGACAGCGTACGGGGGGAGGGGGGCGGGGCCTCGTCATCCACATTGAGCGACTCTCACCTGGAAAAACTTTTTCCCACTGGACACAGAAACATATGTGCTGCTTTATACACTGTGCACATGGACTCACACTTGTCCCAACGCAACGGAAAGTGTGGAATTTCTTGTCAAATCCTGGTTAAATCCACATTTGTGCTTCGGTTCGTTACAGACTGACCCACTGTTTGTGTCTCGCTCCTTCTGATGCAGAGACACATGTACACACCTGTTTGGTCACGACACACACAGACACCTGCATTCAGTTTGTCGATTAATATGAACGTAATCGATGAAATTCTTAATGGTTAATTATCGATTAATCGACTAATCATGCCCATCCCTAATAGAAACAGATCAAGATCACATTGTTATTTTTATTTTTTGTTTTGTTTCCAGTTTGAGCCGTTCATTCCCAAAGAGACGTCATTTTCCGTCTTGGAATCTGCTCAATATGTCACCCAAGACTGAGCAGCGTTAGACTGATTCATCGTGGAAACCGTGTGACCTCGCAGCATTAGGATTCATTCGCTCGACAGTAGGCGGGGACTTTTTTTATTTAATCAATCTCTGCTGTTTGGTCGTGACGTATGTAATGCTCCAAATCCAGTATGAAGAAGAACAATAACGTCTTTTCCCGTTGATGAAATTCACCAAACATTCTCTTTGTTCTGGCTTTAAAGGTTGTATGGAGGATTTTTTTTTTGTTTCAAACTGTCGATGAAAGTTCAAAATAAAATTATAGCGGTGCAGCAGCCTTGTAATTATGATGACCAAAAAAAAAAAAAAAAAAAGAATGAAAATCCATCAACTGTGGATGTGATGGGGGCAGATAAACATCAGCCAATAGAAAACAACGCTACCTCTTTTTCTATTGGCTGTTGGGTTGTCAATCAAACTCCTACTACGTTTCTATTTGTCACTGAGTTGCCGGCGCGCTGGGATTATGTGGTTTACGTTTACCTCACGCACTGATGCTGTTTACTCAACCAACACAGCGGTTCTTAGCGTCTTTATTCGAACTGTCGCTTCCTCTCTCACACAAAGTTTGTTTGCGATGGCCGACAAAAATTCACGACCAGTTCGCCACAAAAGAAAGTCTGTTTTTGACATCGCTGAAAGAAGAAGAGAAGGGGAAGAGGAGCGAAGCGCGACAATTGAAAATGGTTTTTAGTCCTGTTTTTGTCCTGGTTTAGTCCTGTTTTAGTCCTGGTTTTAGTCCTGTTTTAGTCCTGGTTTAGTCCTGGTTTTAGTCCTGGTTTTAGTCCTGGTTTAGTCCTAGTTTAGTCCTGTTTTTGTCCTGTTTTAGTCCTGTTTTAGTCCTGGTTCAGTCCTGGTTTTAGTCCTGGTTTTAGTCCTGGTTTTAGTCCTGGTTTAGTCCTGGTTTTAGTCCTGGTTTTAGTCCTGGTTTTAGTCTGAGTTTAGTCCTGTTTTAATCCAGATTTAGTCCTGTTTTAGTCCTGGTTCAGTCCTGGTTTAGTCCTGATTTTAGTCCTGGTTCAGTCCTGTTGTAGTCCTGATTTTAGTCCTGGTTTAGTCTTGTTTTAGTCCTGGTTTTTAGTCCTGGTTCAGTCCTGTTTTAGTCCTGGTTCAGTCCTGTTGTAGTCCTGATTTTTAGTCCTGGTTTAGTCCTGGTTTTAGTTTTAGTCCTGGTTTAGTAGTCCTGGTTTCCTGTTTTAGTCCTGGTTTTAGTCCTGGTTTAGTCCTGTTTTAGTCCTGTTTTAGTCCTGGTTTAGTCCTGGTTTAGTCCTGTTTTAGTCCTGGTTTAGTCCTGTTTTAGTCCTGGTTTAGTCCTGGTTTAGTCCTGGTTTAGTCCTGGTTTTCTGCGCCAGGAGAAGTTTCCACGCAGACACACGGCGCCACGTCAATCCCAGAAAAGAAGAAAAAAACAAAATAGAACAAATTCAGATTTAAAAGAGCTTCTCAAGTCACAGGTCTCAAGTCCGAGTCAAGTCCCAAGTCAAATTCAGGCAAGTCCAAGTCGAATTTCGAGTCACTGGTCCATAAGTCAAGTCCAAGTCGTCTGCTACCAAATATAGCTTAGATTTCTGTAATTTATATTAATTTTAAGATAAACTGTACTTAAAAAAATCATAGTATATTTATATTTGAGTATTTATCAAGTTTATAAACAAATCTTTCCTTTTTAAATGTTTTGACATCTCCTCATCATCAATCATTATGGTCAGAATAGAAAGAATTCAGATTTAAAAGTGCTTCTCAAGTCACAGGCCTCAAGTCCGAGTCAAGTCCCAGGTCAAATACAGACAAGTCCAAGTCAAGTCCAAGTTGTCTGCTTTGAGTTTCAAGTCTTTAAACCAAATTACCAAATATAGTTTAGATTTTTGTAGTTTATATGAATTTAAAAATAAATTGTACTTTATAAATACTCAAATATAAATATACTATGATTTTTTTGAGTATATAAGAGTTGTTTTTAAATGTTTTGACAAGATCTTAGTGTGAATCATTACCGTCAGAACAGAAAGAATTCAGATTTAGAAGAGCTTCTCAAGTCCCAAGTCACTGACCTTCAAGTCCAAGTCGAGTCCCAAGTCTTCGTCCATTTTATCAAGTCAAATCTCAAATCCTAAAAAGTAGCGACTCAAGTCTTACTCGAGTCCAAATCGAGACTAGTGAATTCGTCTAGTGGATTCTGACTCTTGACCTAATCGCCAGCCCGGCTCAAAATAACCTCAAATTTTCACCGAATGTAAAGAAACAAATCAAGATAATATTTTTATTTTTTGTTCTGTTTTCAGGTTGAGCCGCTCACTCCCAAAGAGACGTCATTTTGCGTCACCCAAGACTCTGCAACCTTCAATGAAAAAATTTAGAAAAACCACCAACCGGCAAACAAATTACAACCTGGTTAGGGGTGTCAAATTATTGCGTTAATTGCGATTAATTAATTACAGTCATATTTAGCGCGTTATGTTTTTTAATCGCGTTAATCTCATTTTTAATCTCTGACTTTACTGTTTCTGTAGCGAGTTGCCTTATTATAAAATCTGTTTTTATGTGTTGTTGGGACAATAACACGTCGCTCCTGCAAACAATTGTGATTTTCTTTCTCGTTCTCGCCGCATCTGCGATAAACCTGCACACGTCTGAAAACACGACATAAACACAGAACAGACTCACCTTCACCTTCAACACTCTGTCAGAAAACTCATATTCCACTGAGTCGTGTCCTTCAGTCCCACAGAAGCTGAACCGCATCAGCGACACAAGAGCATTTTTTTTTTCTCGCTTAGTTTATGCAAATTAGCCATGCGGTTTTTAAGTTTCGTTTCTGTGAGACTTGCGCAAATTAGCATTAAACACATTATAATGTCAAACGAGCTGATGTGGCTCTAGAGCACAGGTGTCAAACATACGGCCCGGGGGCCAGATCCGGCCCTCCAAGACCTTTAATCTGGCCCTCGGCTGAGTTTTTACTAACATATTTTAATTATATTTTCTATTAAAATCTTGTTAATTTTCTGTGGTGTTTATCACAGCAGCGTCTCCAGCGTCTCTGTACGTGGCCCCTCCCACCAGAGCAGCACAAATGAAGACTTGTCTCTTTCCAAACGCTCTTAAAGGACGATCGTTTTGACTGTTGACCGTGACACCCTCATCAGAAAAATGTCCAACATGAGAAAAGTGGAGCCGAGTGCAGGATTTTCCAAGAAAAAATTGATTTATTCCTGTTTGCAGACAAGTTCATGTTAAAACACTGTGTTGAAATAGATTTTTTCTTAAAGTTTCAGGTTGTTCATAATATTATAATATTTTGTAAAAGAAAGAGTTCATCAATTAAAAAAGATTTCTGTAATAGATTTGTGTTTCTCTGCACAAATATTTGAACTTATTGCTATTTTTGGGGTTTATATGACATGAGTTTTCTGATCTGGCCCCTTTTGGATCAAAGTCGGTTGGATACGGCCCTTGGAACAAAATGAGTTTGACACTCCTGCTCTAGAGTGTTCATGGTTTATATGTTATAGTAATAATGTAATAATGAATTTAAATGAAAATACCTCAAATTGAAGGCTTTTCTCAGCAATTTTTAGGTGAGATTAAAAAGAGATTAATTAGATTAATTAATTACAGATCATAATTAATTAATCTCTCAATTTTTTGAATTGCCTGACAGCACTAAACTTGGTACCAAAAATTTAAATAGTAAGACTGTTTATGCAGGACTAAAGGATCTTGTAGACCAACATCGACATCGTCATTGAGCTGGACTTCGTAGTTTTCAAGATAATTGTTTTTAAAATTACGTCAAATTTTTTGGGACACCCTGTACTTCCTGTCATACTTATAATCATAAACAACGACAATTCAGTCTTAAAGAGGGGGTATTTTACTTCTTACCTTTAATTAACTGCTAATACATAACATATTCAGATCACCATGTCTCTTTTATTGTTTTGAAAATTCTATATTTACCGAAAAAAACAACGTATTAACATGTTTTATTTTTATTTTTGTGCAAAAGAAGAAAGAAAAACATTTTAGGAGCTTCAAAAACTGCAGTGAGGATGAACAATGTTTTGCAAATTTTCCTGGATGTGCTCGTCTCTATCTGCTTTAAATTACTTTCGTTTTTGTCTCTCCTGTTTCCGCTCTCCATGCTAAATAACTCCCCCTTCAGAGCGCTATCCCAAAACTACACAATCTGTTAATAAAACTGCTGCACTTCGCATCAGGTTTGTGAAGTTGTCGTGTACAGTTTTGTGTCATGTTTTTGTGCATTTACGAAAGAATTGTCGTGGTTGGAGCCTCAAAATCGGGCCCCCGGAGAGATCGCTAGATGACTCAAACACGCACGGACGACTCTAAAACCTCTTCAGGCACGTTTTTAATGAGGGAAAAATGTTATAACATGGTAGAAAGCACAAAAAAACCTTAAATTTTGCATAATACCCCCCCTCTTTTAACGCAAAAAATATATATATATAGAAATTGTAAACATGTCCGGTATTTTCAAAAAGCTGATGCGCTTGGACCCGGAAGTGACATCAAACTTAACAACTCTATACTAAGACAGGGGGAAAGGTGTGGTGGCCCCGAAAGACAAGATAAAAAAAAAAGAAAATAAAAATGTACGAAGTGTGCAAATAGTTCACAAATATAATGTATAAAGAAGAACTTTGATGTTAAAACAAAATTGTAAATTGCAAAATGCGATGCAGTGGTAGTTTTAGATTTTTGGTGATCGTCTAATTGCAAAATTTTGTCACGATTTTTCATTGTACAGAAAAAAAAAGCTCCACAAAATTGTACGCAAAGAGTCACGACATTTTAACAACGAAAGTCAAGCAGGGAATCAGAAACATGTCACAAAATTATCAATACAATTCCTTATAAAATTGGCTTAAAAACAAAACATTTATTTCATTTATTCATTTTTTTTGTACAATTTACAATAATGTTTTTTCCACGTCTTGTAGTGTTGGGACTTGTCCATCTGGGCCACCGTAAAAAAACAAAACAAAACAAACAAAAAAGAAAAACACAACATTGCACTTTAAAATAACATCATGGCAAATTTTCCACTTGGTAGAATTTTGTTTCATTTTGTTAACATTTCATTTTACAGTACCCAGCTTAGTTTATTTGTGGATTATAGACTTTTTTTTTTTTTTTATATTTCTTTTAAAATTGTTGGATTTTTCGCAACCAAATTCCGTTCACTTTGATATTACATGGTTTTAAAAATGCGTTTTTTATCGTCACTTTTCTTTGCGGAAACCATAGACTGTATATAGAAGTGGACTGAGGGAGTGTGACGTCGCCGATAGTGATTTTTTGCGAACAAATAAAGTAAATCGAGGCTAATTTCTTATACTTCATTATATTTATAGCGGATAATCGACAACCAGGGAGCATATTTGGAAATCTGATCGCGAGTATCGAGCCAATCAGGAGCGAGGTTGTTGAAAAGACGTGATTGGTGTTGTTATTTGAGGTGGGACGAGACAGAATTTTCACGAAACGAGACGAGACATGAGATTTTTCCCAAGAGATTGAGACAATTTACAATATTTTTTTTGATCTCATGGTTTTAAATTTCTTTAAATTTTGTGTCGTGAATGGGTTTTGTGTTCAGTTAGTTGGGATGGGTCGAGACAATTTCCATAAATCGAGACAAAGACACGAGATTGGGTCCACGAGATCGAGACGAGAAAAGATTTTGCACCAATTTAAAATAAGGATAATAATAATTTTGGTTTAATTTCTGTATATTTTGTGTCGTAAATGGGTTTTGTGTTTAGGTCGTTGGGATGTTAAGATTACAATTTCTACAAATCGAGACGAGATACGAGATTAGGTCCATGAAATCGAGATCGAGACGAGATTTTGAACCAATTTACAATAATAAAAATAATTTTGGTCTTGTGATTTTTAATTTCTTTATATTTTGTGTTGTGAACGGGTTTCGTGTTCAGTTCAGTTCAGGGATGGAGCGAAACGATTTCCATAAGTCGAGACGAGACACGAGATTAGGTCCACGAACGTGACAATATTTTTACCCAATTTACAGTAAAAAAAATTAATTGTGGTCTCGTGAGTTTTTAATTTGTTTAATTTCCTTATATTCTGTGTTATGTTTAGTTTGTAGGGATGGGACGAGACCGAATTTTCCCGAAACGAAACGAGACAGAAAATAGAATCCACAAAATCGAGACAAGACGAGATTTTGAACCAATTTACAATAATAATAAAAATAATTTTGGTCTCATGATTTTTAATTTCTTTATATTTTCTGTTGTGAATGGGTTTTATGTTTAGTTTGTTGGGATTTTATGATTACAACTTCCATAAGTCGAGACAAAACACAAGATTGAGTCCACGATAACGAGATGAGATTTTGAACCAATTTACAATAATCAAAACAATTCACAAATTTTGAGTTGTGAATTCAGCTTTTGAATTGGTTTAATTTCTTCTTTCATGTGTTCATATTAGTGTTAGGACAAGACAATTTCCACAAGTCAAGAGGAGATCGGGTCCACGAGAATGAGACAAAGCGAGATTTTAACAATTTGTAACAGGTACATTTCACGATTCAGTTTCCAATTTTGGCCTCACAGTTTGTTCTTTATTTGATTTCATATTTTTGTTTCCATTCTGCTTTTGCTTTTGTTCTGCTTTTTAGCACCGTAAGAGATGCAAATCACCAACATGTGACCCTTTTTTTTGTGTAATCTAGATGTAAACACTTAGGAAACCGATATAACGGGATCATTTTTCTCTCGTGTGCACGATCTTGCGGAAATTTTGTCTCACGAGATCTTTCGGCTCGAGATCCTTGCACCATCCCTAGTTACAAAAATGACCAAATTAAGTCATTTTCATCATGTTTTTGTTATTAAACTTCATCTCGTCCCATGTCTTTTTGTTATTAATGTTCGTTATCTTGATTTAAGGTCAAAATTGTAAAATAAAAACCCCAGGCTCATGAAGAGAGAGCGTTAAAACAAACATTTTGCAGTTAGAATGACGAGCTTGACAGCAGTAAATGATTTTTCAATAGAAATCAGACTTCGAAAGTACCATTTATATATACAGTCTATGTTTTTTTACATTTCAAAACTTGACGATAAGAGAACGGCGCTCCATTTTGAGGCTTGAATATCACCGATTATATTTATTGCTCTGATTTTTACAGTTACGTCACGTTTCCAGACCGATTTTGGCCTAAATTTAAAACAGGAAATACGTTTTAATATTTCCTCAAGTTCCGTTTATGGAAAAAAATCAACATCATGATTTGTTTTTTTCTTTTTTTTTTTTACGAGAAAGTACGAGATCTTATTTAAAAAGAAAGAAAGAAAGAAAACCTATCGACAACATAATTACGAGTAGCAAAATATCGGTGCCGGGACAGTGTGACAGTTGTTTCGATGAATGGGGGAAGTGTTGCGGAGTCCAGTCGTTTTTTTGTTTTTTTTTGTTACGCGACAAAAGGATCTGGACCTGGAGCGGAAACACCCAGGCACCCGGTGAACTCAGCCTCACGCTCGGACCTTCATTCACACACAGAACACGCGCTCGCTCAGGTCTCCGCTCAGGACGTACAAATGTGTGTGTAGTGGTACATGCGTTCTTTTATACTGATATACACGTCTTAAAAAAAGGTACAAAATAAAACAACGTCAACCGAAAGAGGGATTAGAAATGCAGCTCTACAGAGTCTTTTAGCTATTCCCGGGAGTGAGGGAGGGAGGGAGAGAGACCTGGGACAGACCTGGGACAGACCTGGGACAGACCTGGGGCAGATGTGGTGGTGGTTGTGGTGGTGATCGGTTGAGGGGGGGGGGGGGGGGGGGTACAGGTTAGTTACTGCAGCAGGGGCGGCTGCTGGGCTGGGCCGTCTCTGTCAGGTCCACTCCTCTGTTGCGGCCGCTGTTGGCTCCGGCAGCTTGAGGCTCGTTCTTGGGGAGTTTCTTGGCTGTGAGGACAAACAAACAAGAGCAATAATCAGTGTCGGGAAGGTGACTTTTAAAATGTAATCCCCTACAGATTACAGATTACACACACCAAAATGTAGTTTGTAACATAATCCATTAAGTTACTTAAAGTGAGTGATGTAATCTGAATACTTTGGATTACTTGATTTGCTGTAGAGAAGCAAAGACGAGGAAATCGTAACATAAGTTTTGTCTGATAAAAGAAAATAAAAAGCCCAGACTTTACTGAACCAAATTAAAAATATTATTGATAGAAGAAGTTTAGTCTTGTTAAATCCTGTTTGAGACCTAGTTTAGACCTGGTTTTAGACCTGGTTTAGTCCTGGTTTAGACCTGGTTTTAGACCTGGTTTAGTCCTGGTTTAGACCTGGTTTAGTCCTGGTTTAGACCTGGTTTAGTCCTGGTTTTAGACCTGGTTTAGACCTGGTTTAGTCCTGGTTTAGTCCTGGTTTTAGTCCTGGTTTAGTCCTAGTTTAGACCTGGTTTTAGTCCTAGTTTAGACCTAGTTTAGTCCTAGCTTGGACCTAGTTTGGACCTGGGTTTAGACCTGGTTTAGACCTGGTTTAGACCTGGTTTAGACCTGGTTTAGACCTGGTTTAGACCTGGTTTAGTGTCCGGCAATGAGTAGAATTACAGGAATTAAAAAACAAAAAAGTGAAAACAGGAAAATACCTCCATTTAATCCATTGATTTCAACAAAGTAACTGTAATGCCAATTACCACTCACTGAAACAGTAACTGTAACTGAATACAGTTACTCATCATTTGTACTCTGATTATGTAACTCTGGTACAAGTAATCAGTTACTCCCCAACACTGGTAATAATACACACTGAAGTCCAGATCTTGTGTGCGGCGCTAGACAAGGCGCAGTGTAAATATGTGTTTAGAGTATATGACCTTTATGGAATGTTTTTTGTGTTAGAAAACTCCCTCTATTTTAAGACTGAAAATGTAATGGAAGAAAATACAACTACATGTGTCATTCACTGATTGTATTTTTTCTCCAAAGACCAGACGCATGAGTCCAGTGCACGTAGTTTACTCTTGTACTCTGATGTTTGATGTGAGTGATGATGATTGACCTGCAGTGTGGAGGATGCTTTGGATCAGAATCACGCAGCAGACGAAGCACCATGAACACCGGGCAGAAGCAGGTATTTATTACCTGGTCCCTGAAGGGTTGACCAGGTTTTGTGTTCACCTTGTCAGTGTGTGTGTCGGTGTGTGTGTGTGTGTCAGTGTGTGTGTCGGTGTGTGTGTCGGTGTGTGTGTCAGTGTGTGTGTCAGTGTGTGTGTCAGTGTGTGTGTCTGTCCACCCGCGATACTCCCGCCATTTATGGACTGATTGTCACCAAATTTGATGCGCGGGTCAAACCCCTCATGCTCGAACCGAGGTCATTTCAGGACACACAGGTCAACTGAAAGGTCACGCCATTATATAGAATATGCAATTTCTGACCCATCTGCGGCCTAAAATATTCACCCAGTCATCACACAAATTGGCACACACATCACCGGGGTATGGGCTGGCCTCTTCATAAGCTGCTTCCATGGTCATTTAGTTTTGCATACATTTTATTATTATTATTTTAATAAATTAACAAAGTTCTCTTTCATGCCTGTATTTCTCCTGTGTCTGTTTAGTGCAAAGCTTCTGTTGGATTTTCAGCCTGTTCTGAGATCTGCTCCGTTTAACTGTTGCTAGTATCTTGGCCCGGCGCCCCCTGGAGGACGACACACGAACTGAACACTGTTTGTGCAGAACGACAAGACGGGCCTGAAGGTGTGATTCCAGAGCCGTATCACACTCCTACTGAGTGTGCATTTCACCGTCATTTGAGGCCTGTTTAATCAGTTCTTTACACCCTTGAACCTGTCGTGCCTCAGTTTGATCAGTTTAGTTCAGAGGTGGGTAATCTACCGCCCGGGGACCATATGCGGCCCTTTAATCTTTTTAATCCAGCCTGCCGAACTTTAATAATAATAATTTTCTGTGTTTTAAAAGTCATTTCAATAAATAGTAAATACTGTGGGACTTGAACGACAGATATTTTGTTGTGATGCTTTGTAATGATTTTCAATTATGGGATATTTCAATAACATGGGATCTGTTTTCTACATATCCCATGTTATTTTTTTCTCTTATGAGCTGGATTACCAAAAAAATCCATCCATCTGCTCCTGGTCTGGCCCTTCCTTCAAATTTTAGAAACCTTTGTGGCCCACGAGTCAAAAAGTTTGGCCATCCCTGGTTTGGTCAGTTTGGTCAGTTTGGTCTTGACCCCCACAGCTGATGTTTTGTCTGAGGTGCACTGACGTTTTAGAGCGTGAAGGATTCTTTGAGACAGAGTGAAAGGTCAGGCCCAGCACACACACACACACACACACACACACACACACGCTGTGGCTCTTCTGGTGTCACTGTGATGGTCTTCAGTTATTTTTATTCCTGAGATGGTTTGAGGATTTGCACCTCTGCTGCTCATCTCCACGGTCTCTGTTTGTATCAAGAGACACAACAACAACAACAAGCAGCGCTCCAGGAAATGAACTTCCTCTTCTAGTATCAAGAAGTAAAACAGAACCATAGACTGTGTAGAGAAGTGAAGAGAGTGAGCGAGACGTCACCCGTAGTGTTCAGCTTCAGTCAAATGAAGCCAAACGAGGTTAGCAGGTATAAGGACAAATTTGGAGTTTCATATTTGGAATTCAGCAAGTACCATAAGCACCAGGAGTGAGGCTGTTGAAGGTACCGTATTTTCCGGGCTATAGGGGGCGCTCTATAGCGTTCCACACAGTCCAGAGCGCCACATACACGAATCCACTCGGGTGTCCCAGCACGACTTCAGGAAACTACAAAGCAAAAACGCAAACACACACGGAGCAGACAGCGACCGCACAACGAAACACACCCACAGACACTCATCACTCCACGCCGACGAGGAACGGAACGGAGGAACTAGGGATGGACATTCGATGAAATTTTCTTAATCGATCGTCGGAAGAATTAACGATCGATTATCGATTAATCATTAACGTTTTTATATTAAAATGATCATCATTATTATTACTATCTGCACTACTAATCTGCATAAATAAATTCAACTTTACGACATATAAACCGTAACGACTCTAGAGCCACATCAGCTGTTTGACATTATAATGTGTTTAATTCAGTTTTGTTCAAATCTCACAGAAACAAAACTTAAAACCACATCACTAATTTACATAAACTAAGTGAAGATAAAACTCCAGCTCTTGTGTCGCTGATGTGGTTCAACTTGTGTTGGATTAAAAGACATGACTCAGGTGAATACAGGTCAGAGTGACCAGATTTGTGTTTGTCAAAACCAGGACAGCGTACGGGGGGAGGGGGGCGGGGCCTCGTCATCCACATTGAGCGACTCTCACCTGGAAAAACTTTTTCCCACTGGACACAGAAACATATGTGCTGCTTTATCCACTGTGCACATGGACTCACACTTGTCCCAACGCAACGGAAAGTGTGGAATTTCTTGTACAAATCCTGGTTAAATCCACATTTGTGCTTCGGTTCGTTACAGACTGACCCACTGTTTGTGTCTCGCTCCTTCTGATGCAGAGACACATGTACACACCTGTTTGGTCACGACACACACAGTAACCTACATTCGGTTTGTCGATTAAAATGAACGTAATCGATGAAATTCTTAATGATCAATTATCAATTAATCGACTAATCATGCCCATCCCTAGGAGGAACGAACCGAAAAAGCGAGCGCGACGTGCCGCTTCTAGACACGACTGAACAACTGAGTCACTGCGAACACGCCGACAACCCGTTGGTCCCAGACACACCCTCCCTACACGCCACAACTGAACAAAGCCCAGAGTCACCGTGAACGAACAAACAAACAAAACCACTCACCCATCACACTGTTGTGTTTCATTTAAAGTCCCACGCGGTTTATTTGTGAAAAAAAGTTCGAAAATAGACCATTTAATGACACTGCGCCGTATAATCCAGAGCGTCCTATAGTGCGGAAAATACGGTACATTGCTTTGCTCCCGCAGCTCTCGGAGATGAGCAGGAGGGACTTCAGGGCAACAGGGCATCTGCATGGTCTGATATTAATGTTCATATCAAGATTTATGGACAAAATATCTAAATAAAAACACCAGGATCTTTCAGAATCAATGGATCTGGATCGTGCTCATGCTCATTTTTTATTTGGAATGCTGGGGCTATTTTATCGTGTCCGTTTATAAATCCGGTCTGAACAGCACTCACCGATCGCCATGAAGATCTCGTTGACGTTCATGGAGGTCTTGGCGGACGTCTCCATGAAAAGCAGGCTGTTGTCGTCTGCGTACGACTGTGCGTCCTGTCAGAGGGACACGGGTTAGACTCCGGGACATGAGGATGACACACACACGTGAGTTTGAGACGCACCTGGAAGTCCAGCGCCCTCTTGCTGGCCAGATCCGCCTTGTTCCCCGCCAGAGCTATTACAATGTTGGGACTGGCTTGTCTCTGGAGCTCCTTCACCCAGTTCTTCGCCCGTACAAAAGACTCCTGCAAAACAACGACAAATAAAACATTTAAGATACGACACAATTCACCCTGATGTCAGAAATCAGAACTGTGGTCAAGGTTTGGTTACTGTGACTTTTAGTAACATTTAAGTATTTTCTGGCAAATACTGGATGATCTAGCTGCACTTCTGCCTCAGGAAATATAGACTTTAAGAGTTTTAAAATGCATCTACACTCGTCCCTTGCAATATCGCGGTTCACCTTTTGCAGTCTTGCCGTTTCGTGGATTTTTTTTTGTGGAATTTTGCATGCTTTTTTTTTTGTTTTTTACAGTGTATGAACGTGCATTGTGCTCCTCCCACTGCGTCCTGATTGGCTGAGAGACTGTAGACCGTTGTCAATCAATCTCCTTTGTGCCGTGTCTCCTGTACAGTACAGAATGTGTTCAGACAAATTTACATAAATGTTCGATGGCTGCAGTGTGATTCTGAAATGCTGTGCGATCGGACAATTGCTGTGTTTACTCCTGCGGTCACCATTGAGCCCGTCCCAACAGCGAGTCCTGGTTCAGTCCTGGTTCAGTCCTGGTCTAGTCCTCCTGTTCAGTCCTGGTCTAGTCCTCCTGTTCAGTCTAGTCCTCTAGTCCTCCTGTTCAGTCCGGGTCTAGTCCTCCTGTTCAGTCTCCGTCCTCTAGTCCTCCTGTTCAGTCCTGGTCTAGTCTCCTGTTCAGTCTGTCTAGTCCTCCTGTTCGTCCTGGTCTAGTCTCTGTTCAGTCCTGGTCTAGTCTCCTGTTCAGTCCTGGTCTAGTCCTCCTGTTCAGTCCTGGTCTAGTCCTCGTTCAGTCCTGGTCTAGTCCTCCTGTTCAGTCCTGGTCTAGTCCTCCTGTTCAGTCCTGGTCTAGTCCTCCTGTTCAGTCCTGGAATCAGTCCTGGAATCTGTCCTAGGTTAGTCCTGGTTCAGTCTCGGTCCAATCCGTGGCGTATGCATCGTAAAAGTTTGATATAATCTCGGGTAAACGGGCGGGTGTGGTCCTGTACTGCGCGGGTGCGGGTCTCCAAAAATGGACTCATGCAGGACTCTGCGCTGTAGGCTCCATTACAGAATAAATTCATCTTCAGTTCATTACATAAAAAAAGACAAAAATAACAAAAGGACGACAGCAGCAATAAGTTTTAAGAAGGATGCAGAAAGGTTTGTACCTGTCCTGTGTGAGAAGTGTGTGCTGAGGGGTTTTACAGACTTAAAACAAATATAATCACTGTAAAATATAAAGTTGACTACTTCACAGATTTCACATATCGTGGGTTATTTTTAGAATGTAAACCTCGCGATAAACGAGGGACCACTCTAATGGAAATCTTAATCATAATGTCAATACCACTGTATAAATGTACCAGATATTTTTATATGCTATTATTAAAATTGTGTAAATTTAATATATTTTAAGTGAGAAAAACATGCTCAAAGTAATAATAAAAGAATTCACAGGTCAAATGATCCGGCTGAGGTCATGACCAAGACCAAGGATCTGGAGATGGGTCCCGGGCTTGGCGCAATGGTGCCCACTGCCCATCTGTTATATTTAGTTTTTGTTATTTACACAGACACACTTAAATACTAAATATATTAAAGGCTGAAGTAAAGCCGTGAGTGTTGCTGTTCTCCATCTGACCCACTGAGACCTCAGCTGCCCTCACCTCATTAGTGATGTCATAGACCACGATGGCGGCCTGGGCTCCTCTGTAGTACATGGGGGCCAGGCTGTGGTAGCGCTCCTGTCCTGCCGTGTCCCAGATCTCAAACTTCACCGTCGTGTCGTCCAAACACACCGTCTGTGTGAGGAAGGCCGCTGGAACACACACACAAACACACACACAAACACACACACAGAGAAGCTGAGAAATAAACAGGATTCTGCACCACAATATATATATTTCATAGTGATTTTTGTGCCAAATTCTGCGATATGTCAGATCAGGATTAATTATTTTTTACCAATTTTATGTCTTACTGTAGAATATTTTAGCCCTAGGAACATTTCCATGGAAACAAGTAGAAGGAGGCCCTCCTCTGGGCCAAAGTCAGGTTTGTGAGGACACTCAAAATACAATTTCATTTTAATTGCAATTTTTTGTGCAGCTCAAAGTAAGAATATTTGAAATGCGTAACACTTAAATAAAGCATAAAATCTGTTGAATCTCAGAGAAAAGTGGATTTAGTTTTGTTTATGTTTTGTCCTTACCTCCGATTGTGCTCTCCTGGAATTCGTGGAACTGTCCTTTGACAAAGCGCAGGACCAGACTGGACTTCCCCACAGCAGACTCTCCTAACAGCACCAGCTTGAACTGGCAGATTTTGTTTCCTGCGTTTGGCCCGTTGGGTCGTGTGGCTCCGCCTCTACTTGCCATGGCGCTCTGTGGTCCCTCCTCTGGGCTCTGAGGTGAAGTGAGCGGCGGATCAAACCTGCAGAGAGTCAGAGGAAAACACAGGAACACTGTTAAACATGAACACAGTTTAAGGAAAAATATCTAATTGCAAGTTTACTGACGAAGCGACAAATAGGAATATAACAATAACCAAAATATCATGATATCGTATCGTCAAAAGTCTCAATAATATCGTGAGCCATCACAATACCGTGTTTTCCGCACTATAGGGCGCATTTAAAGGTCTTTAATTTAATCTAAAAACGACTGCGCGCCTTATAATCCAGAGTGCCTTTATATGAATCTACTGGGGTGTCTTAGTACGACTTTAGTAAACTACAAAGCCGCTCCACTCGCAGCATTACGGCTCCCGTCGTCAGGAGCATCAGGAGTAAAACAGTGAAACTGTGATTCCTTCTAATATCAAAATGCACCTGTCAACAGACACACTCACAACGCCCACTTTAAACTCAAGGCTGTTATAAAGTGAAAGTGCGTTTAGCTGCGTGGGAGCAGTGGATGAGAGAAGGAGAACACACATTCACCAAGACAGAGAGACAGAGAGACAGAGACAGCGCCGAGCCACTTACGCCACGATCTGCCAACGGATCGTGGACGCCCGGGCGAAGGATCAGTATCAACTGTGGTCTGAGCTTTCACCAAGACCAGAATCATCACTGAACTGAACTGCCAGGGAACAGGAACCACACTGACTCGGATCATGACGAGACGGATGTGGACGTGCTGGACGCCGGAATCACCCAACTGTTTCAACTATTATGACTTATTGTGAATATTCTAACAATTTAGCGTCTGAGACAGTAAAGTAAAGACAATACAGTTTGACTGACTTATCTAACTGTTGTGTTTCGTTTAATGCGCCTTACAGTCCAGTGCTGTTTATATGTGAAAAAAGTTCAAAAATAGACCATTTAATGACAATAATGAAAATACGGTAGTCTGCACTGAAAGAGAGCAAAGGATCATGGTTTGCTGTGTCTTTTTTTAACTATTACTGCACCATAACTCTTCATTTAAACAAAGAGACTTTAATTCGATATACTGTGGTGGTCCACGATATTGTGAGAAATTTGACGATACAATATCACGATATTTCAGTTATTGTTACATCCCTATTAATAAATCAATTCATTGTGTCCATTGATATTGCGATTTCAATTAAATTCATATTAATCTTGAGCCCAGGCACCAAAAAATTTAAGCACCTGAGCCTGTAATGATAGTACATTTTTTATGATTTACTGAAGAGAAAATTTAATGAAACTAATTTAAGCCACTGACACAAAAACTCTGCAGGATATTCTAGTTAAACCCTTTTTCTAAATGTACAAAGTGACAAAAAAATAAGCTCTGATACAAAGATATAGATACTTTGCGTTGATAATGAGTCAAAAAAGTTATTTAATCAACTTTCCGCAGCTCAAATCTGATCATAAAGCAGAAAAATAACAAAACTTTTCCCACTGGTACAAAGAAAAAGAACCACATCAAATATTAACCCTAAAAAACTATTGTCCATCTGTCATGTATTGAACGATACAGTAATTATTGTGACGGGCCTAAAAGCGGCATAAACACAAAAAAAACAAAAACCCATTGTCCCGCTGACAGAATCCAGTGTCCTTTGTGATTCCTTTGTGATGTTCCGTATACAATCATAAAACAATAGCGGTTGTGATGTGGAAGATGTGAAAACGGCGACGTCTTTTAAAACAGAAGACCTGGATGTAAACTTTACTTTTCAGAGTTTTTATTCACGTCGCAGCTGTTTCTCTGTCTCACTGACCCTCTGAAGTTTCATTTAAAGTGAGTGAGTCATCTTTAATCGCTTATTTTCAAGACGCAATTTTGTCGATCGACTCCCGTTTTCACCAACAAATGTACAGGGCGTCCCAAAAAATTTGGCATCATTTCCACTGTTGGGCAAGTGACTTTAAAACTGTAATGTGTTATTTATGACTTATTATTGTCATTTCAAAGTAATTTGTTACATTACAATATTACTGCATTTAAAATGTAAGGCATTACTTTACTATTGCATCACTTTAAGTTACTCTCACCAAAATAACTGCGAAAATGCTGAACTTTTGCTCCGTATATGGACTGAACCAGGACTAAACCAGGTCTAAACCAGAACTGAACTAGGACTAAAACAGGACTCACTGTCGGGACGGGCTCGAAGGTGACGCAGGAGAAAGGAGCGGCTCTGCTCCGCACCTCACGGAGGTAAGAGCGGCTGTCGCCCAATCGCTCTTTACAGACGCCCTGCTGCTCGGGCTCACGGTCCTGATTTCAGCAACTATTTGTGGGGACCCGACCCAGTGCAAGACTCTGTTACAGCGCGTAACTTCTACCTTCCTTCAGCGTGTGCAGAAGTCCAAATTTTTGTGCGACAGGTTGCATCGTCCTCTGTCTTTTGGATGCGACCGCAGAAGACTTGGTCGGTGCAGAACGTTTCGTCGACAATGTGGATTTTGTCAGGGAGAAAACTTACAAACATACAGCACTTTAGAATCACACTGATACAGATCGAAAATTTATTAATAATAATAAATTTGGCAGCTGAACACATTCTGTACTGTACAGGAGCAGGAGTCCCTCAGCCAATCAGGACGCAGCAAGAGGAACGCAATACGTGTTCATACACTGTAAAAACAAAAGGCATGCAAAATTGCACAAAAAAAATCCGCGAAACCGCGAAAGGTGAAAGCGCGATAGAGCGAAGGACGACTGTAAACCAGGTCTAAACCAGAACTGACCCAGATCTAAACCAGGTCAAAACAGCGTAGAGTTTTGCGTCGGTCCTTTCGCCCGCGGTCACCTGAAGGTCTAGGCAGCCGCGTCTCCGGCGTTTCACCGCTGCTGATATCGCGGTGATTTTAGTGAATTTCTATGAAGAAAAACCCACCACTTCAATCCAGGTTAAAAAAGCATTGTAACGCACGTTACATTTGTACCGAGTAAAATATTAAAAAATTTTTCCCTGTAATGCCACATTTCTGTGTTACAGCAAAAGCAATATATTACTGTAATTTGTTACTTTTATAACACGTTACTCCCAACACTGATCATTTCACAGGCCAATAATTTTGCCAGTTCTTGTATGTTTGCAAGTTTTCTCCCCGACAAAACCCACAATGTCGACGAAACGTTCTCCACCGACAAAGGCTCCAGCGCTCGCACCTAAAAGACAGAGGAAGATTTAACCGTCGCACAAAAAGTTGGACGTCTGGACATGCTGAAGGAAGAGAGAAGTTACGCAGCTGTAGCAGAGTCCTGCACCGGGGTCGGGTACGAGCAAATATTTGCTGAAACGGGCGGGTTTTAACGTTCTGGAATTTTACGGGCAGGTATGTGAGCGTGTCAGGACTAAACCAGGACTAAACTAGGACTACACCAGAACTAAACCAGGACTAATCTTGGACTAATCTTGGACTTAAGAGAGAGAACACGGAATCAGGGAGTCCGCAAAGCGCGATCGGGCAACGACCGCGGAGCTGAGCCGGTCCTTTCTCCTGCGGTCACCTCTAAGCCCGTCCCGACAGTGAGTCCTGTTTTTGTTCTGTTTTAGTTCTGTTTTAGTCTTGGTTTAGTCCTGGTTTTAGTCCTGGTTTTAGTCCTGGTTTTAGTCCTAGTTTGGTCCTAGTTTGGTCCTAGTTTGGTCCTAGTTTGGTCCTAGTTTGGTCCTAGTATGGTCCTAGTATGGTCCTAGTATGGTCCTAGTATGGTCCTAGTATGGTCCTCCTATTTCAGTCCTGAAATCAGTCCTAGGTTAGTCCTGGTTTTAGTCCTGGTTTTAGTCCTGGTTTTAGTCCTGGTTTTAGTCCTGGTTTTAGTCCTGGTTCGGTCCTAGTATGGTCCTCCTATTTCAGTAATGAAATCAGTCCTGGTTTTAGTCCTGGTTTTAGTCCTGGTTTTAGTCCTGGTTTTAGTCCTGGTTTTAGTCCTGGTTTTAGTCCTGGTTTTAGTCCTGGTTTTAGTCCTGGTTTTAGTCCTGGTTTTAGTCTTGCGGCTTCAGTGGAGTCACACCGGAGCATAAGTCACAGGAAACACCCAAACCATGAAAAAAGTACAACTTATAGTCCAAAAAATACAGTACTAAAATTCTTGTTCTTCTTCTAAAATGACTTTTCCAGGATTTCAATGACCGCGGGAACCTTTGATTATAATTATAAATATCTTCATAATTATTTTTTTAAAAAGACGTCACTGTAGTTATTTCAGCAGATCAACAGTTAAGACCAGCTGCCTGTGAGTAGAACTGGGGGTCATTAAAAAGTTGCCGATACGATACACACCTCGATACGGCGCACTTTCGATTCAAAACGATATATTTAAAATCGATTTGATACGGTTCAATAAAAAATAAAGGCTAAATCATGTCTGTGATACTAAAAGTCTTTGTTAAGCCACTTCTTCTTGTGCAAAGTTCACATGAAACACAAACATTTAAATCTTCAAAACAGTGAAAATGTCAAATGTGTCGCATGAACGAGTTTACTTCCTCTGAACAAACAACAAAACTGTAGCTCTGTGACAAAATAATTTAGTCAAATAAACCAAAAAATATTCTTGGTGATATATCGATACAGCAGCCCACGATACCGATACTGTATCATCACATTAAATGATACGATTTATCGATAATTTGATATTTTTTCACAGCCCTACCTGTAAGTTCCAGTTCCACCTCACACATTTAGGATTCATTCGCTCGACAGTAGGCAGGTACTTTTTTATTTAACCAATCACTGTTATTTGGTTGTGACGTATGTAATGCGCTGCCAACGGTGTCAACTAGTATATTAAGCTTTTCCCAAATCCCGTAGAAAGAAGAACAATAACGTCTTTCCGCTTGATAAAATTCACCAAACATTCTCCTTGTTTCGTCTTTAAATCCTCGATCTCGGGAATTGTTGAAACACAGAATGTCTGTTTGTTCGCTGATTGGCTGGTGCCCGAACTTGCATTTCTGGAATTTTTGCGAACTGTCTAGTGCAGACATGTCAAATTCAG